CGAAGCCTTCAAGCCAGAACCACCCAGCTAAGCTGCACCTGCAGACCTGACCTACAGGAACTGTGAGATGCAAACCTTTGTCATTTGGCACCACGAAGTGTGGGGTAATTGGTTGTGCAGCAAGAGATAACTGATACATGTGTTCATTTCTATGATTATGGTATGACTCTCCATTTTAGTAATCTTCAATGACATTCGACAAATCTTTGTAATTATTTCCAGAAAACTCGGTGGAAATTATTCCTCAATACTTTAAATTTTTGATGCTGTTGTAATATTTTCTTTTCTTCCCTTTTCCGTTTGTGACTAGCGAAATGAGACAGTTGATTTTGTGTGTTTATTTCTTTTAATTTTTTTAAGTGATCTGTACAACTCAACGGGGGTCTCAAACTCACAACCCCAAGATCGAGAGTCGCATGCTCCATCAAGTGAGCCAGCCAGCTGCCTCTGTGTGTTTATTTTGTATTCAGCAATTCCAAACATTTATCCATAATGATCTGGAGTTTTCTACATAGATAACAATATTATATGTGAATAATAAGAGTTCTTTTTTCTTCCCTTTCAATTCCTATGATAATTTTGCTGGCTAGTATCTCTAATACATGATGAATAGAACTACTGACAGCAAGAAACTTTCTTTTTTTTTAAAAAAAAGATTTTATTTATTTATTTGACAGAGGGAGAGAGAGAGCACAAGTAGGCAGACAGGCAGGCGGTGGGAGAGGGAGAAGCAGGCTCCCCATCGAGCACAGAGCCTGATGTGGAGTCGATCCCAGGACTCTGGGATCATGACCTGAGCCAAAGGCAGACGCTTAACCGGCTGAGACACCCAGGCGCCCCAGCAAGAAACTTTCTTACATGTGATTTTAAAAGGAATACATTTAACATATCATCATGTGTGAAATTTGCTATAATCTCTATAAATATTCTTTACAAAACATTAAGGAAATTTTGTTCTAATCCTTGTTTACCAAGATTTTTTACTATGAATACTGAATTTTATTAAAAAGGCTTTTTATGCATCTGTTGACATGATCATGTAATACTTCTCCTTCAACCTCTTATTTAATAACATTAATTGATTTTTCCCTTATTAAAAAATCTTACATGCCTAATCTAAGCATTCATTTCTAAACCAATTTGGTCTCAATTTTGGAAGCAAAAATGAGGGTTTAAGACTTAATACCTCTCCCCAAAAACATGGCTAACCCCTCCAATATGATTGTAACTTTTAGCAAGCAGAGAAGTAGAAATGAATTTTGGTTTTAAATGTACTCGTAAAACAATTGTATTTATTATTGACAACTCTGATGTACTTTTAAAGGGAATTTGCTCTAACTATAAGACATTCCACAAAACTAGGAAGACAGTAAAAAGATCAGTGGTTTCTGGGGGCACAGGAGATCTTTAGGGCAGTGAAACTAGTCTGTATGTTATTATAAAGTTGGATACATGTCATTATATATTTGTCAAAATCATAGCATGTACAACACCAAGCTTGAACCCTAATGTAAACTATGGACTCTGGGTGATAATGATGTGTCAGTGTAGATTCATCAGTTATAACAAATGTCCCACTCTGTGTGGGGGGGTGTTGATAACGGGGGAGGCTGTGCAGGTGTGGAAGCAGGGAGATATGGGAACTCTCTGTACTTTCCACCCAATTTCGCTGTGAACCTAAAACTGCTCTAAAAATTTAAGTAGTTCTTTTTAAAAAAAAAAAAAGGGAGGGAGGGGGATTTGGTTCTTGTTTCATGTTAGAACTGCATATTGGAGTGATTAATGGACCCTTGGTTTATCCCCAGAATCGATGCACACTGAAACATGCTTGAAATGTACTTTTATACTTTTTGATTTTGCAAAGGATGGAATGGGATAGAGGGGAAGGGGACGGAAAGAGAGAAATGTAAACCATTTTGAATATTACATTTCTAACTCGCAACTTTAACACCACATTATTGGAAAATATTTATGATTGCAAAAGCCTGCTATGGGTGAGGATTGTTTTGATTTGATTTGTTTTGCTTTGTTTTTCAAGAAACCAGAAACAGTTGTAAATAACAACCCACTCAATGCCACAGATGAGTTAATGTTGCCAGATCTTGTGATACTGTGTGCTTGAAATTATACCTTGGGATTGCAATCATCATGTGAGCCTTTCTGATATATCTCTCTGTTGCTTTTTCTCTATCTGAATCCACAATTTCCTGGAGTCTCCCTTGTTCATTTATTGAGTGGGTCATACATGTAAAGCACCATGCTAAATGCTGCGTTCAGCCCTTCCAGAATAAACTAGAAGACCTCCTCCGAGGTTTAACAAGCTATGCTGTCATCTGAAGAATGTTTCACTCACAGTCTCAAGTCAGACTATCTGGCAACGCTAACAACAATAGTAGATTATGCTTTTTATGTAGCTATTACTTATGAAAACAAGAAGAATATAGCTTTCTTGTGAGGTAATACATACGAATTTTTTTCTCCTAGAGGAAAAATATGAAAGACCTATTTTTAAAGACATGTTGGCTCAAAGGAGAATGAATTATTCATTTTTTTTTTTTTAGAAACCCAGCTAGATTAAAAGTAACTTCTTTCTGGTTTAAGATTGGGAACATAATTTTGTTATCCTATTGTGCAATTTACTGCTTGAGGATTCCAGGAGTTTCATGAAGGTATCACAATGGTTGTTGTCTCCTTTCCAGCTGAATCGAAAAGACTTTTGGTTAAAAGCAAAACAATAACAAACAAAAAAACCCAAAACTCTGAAACAGACACCTTGTTTGTCCAGTTTGAAAGTTAGTCAAAGTGGGACACTTGGGTGGCTCAGTCCGTTACGCATCTGCTTTCATTCAGGTCATGATCCTGGAGTCCCAAGATCGAGCCCCATGTTGGGCTCCCTGCCCAGTGTGGAGTCTGATTCTCCATCTCCCTCTGCCCCTCCCCCTGCTCCTTCTCTCTCTCTCTTGCTCACTCTCTCTCTCAAATAAATAAAATCTTAAAAAAAAAAAAAAAGAAAGTTTAAAGCGCTTTCATGGGACAGCTGTAAAGTGCTGTCCTTGGGCTGCCCAAATGTCTATACCCGGGACTTTTTCTACACCACTACACTGAAGCAGTAAAACCCTAGTGACCTCATAGAGTTTTCCAGGGAGTGTTTGGTGTCTACGTCCATTGAGGCTTCCCTTCACACTATTAGGTAAATACTATATTGTAGATAAAGAAAGGACAGAAACTAAGTATGGTAAATTTAAGATTGTTTCATTCTTTTCTAGCACATTTGCTTGAGTGTAAAGAAACTAACCAACAAACAATGTAAAATGGTTGGTACATTTTCACCACAATTTTTATAAAGTACAACCAAAAAGAAACAACGTTCTTTGTCAAGGAAAAATGTCCTTATCAAAGTGCATCTCGAGAGGTGTCGGAGAAAGAACATGTGATTTGGTGGTAGACATTCCAAGGTTCGTTAAAACACATTGGACCTCAGTTGCCTTATCTGAGTATTAGGTATAACAAGGACTTCTTTGAGAGACAGAATTAAATAAAATAGCTTATATAAAACTAGTATGGTGTTTGCCTTACAACAGATGTTTTACAAATGTTAATTTTGGAAAGAATAAAATATCCACAAGAAACACCTACTCTCATTCCCATTGCCATTGGGAGAGGAGGCAGGGGAAAATCTGGGCTGTCTTGGATTTTTAACTTTAATACCACTGTACCCAGTTAGTCTATGTCAAGTTTCCTCAAAGCAATAAGGACTTGCTGCATTTATTGGAGCCTTTTCCATGGCAAGTGAGAGAACCTCAACACCATCATAGTTAAGTAAAAAGGAGATAACTGGCTCACATAACTGGAAGGTCCATGGATGCTTCTGGCTTTAGGCACTCGGTCTCAAAAGTGGTCAGTGCTTTGCCTCCCCATCTCTCAGCTCTGATGAGTTCTGTTAGCCCCTGTTAAAGAATTATTCTGACACTTGTAAAAGTGTCAGAATGCAATGGGGTCAACACTATCATAATCGGGGAGAGAGATTGGGCTCAATTCCAAATACAAGGACAGTGGGATTTATAGCCAAAGAGCAGGGTGAGGGGGGCAGTGGATGGAAAGCTACTCAGAGAAGACATCAAGGGTAGAAGGATTCTTGCTAAAGGCAGGCCAAGGACTTAAACATCAACATGGGGGATAAGGAACTTGATCAGATACCAGGTCGGGGCAGGGATTCTCCATAAACCAACTTAGCAGGATTCTTGCTAAACCTGGGCTGTGCAGGCCCAGCAAGGACAGGATGGATATGGAAGGCCAAGGTTGAGGCCTAGTCGAGAAGAGGGCTCAGGGGAGCCTAACTACAGTTCGCTCAAGAGAGAATTTCTGTCACCGTCTAAGTGCTGGTCAAGATTTACGTCCTTCTGTTCTAGCAAGCTCAAGGGCAAACGTTGCTCTTTCTGAAGATCTTTGTTTGAAAATGACTGATTGGTCTGGTATGGTCCCCATGCTCATCTTGAAACCAATCACCATGTCTAGTGTAATGTACCATGATAGGTCAAACTTGGCTTATGCTTCCTCCCCTGTGAGGGACCATATAGAAGAGAAGAGAAGATTCTCAAAGGAACCAGAAAAAGGAAGATGGACAAAAATGTCAGGCACTCAAAATTTGTGGCTATCGATCTATTTGTGGCAGTCTATCACAGTCATAATATACATTTCCTAAAAGACTTTAAATGTGTAATAGCAAATACAAATAGTGATGATAGAAAGTATCTTAAATGTGGTTCACCCATCCAGACTACTTGATGGAATACACTTTGAATTACTGTGTTTATTTTCCTTACTTCCCAGAATGCCCCAGTAAAAACCCAGCTGCTCTGCTTGCTCTCCCCAGCCAGGCAACTCTTCCATCTGCATGTGATGGGCCCCTCTCACCTGCCAGCTCTCATGGTGAAAGCCCTGCTGGTCCTCCAAGGCCTCATTAAATGGGTGGACCTATAACATTAAAAGTAATTAGTGTGGTGCTCACTTTGGCAGCACATATAGTAAAATTGGAATGATACAGAGATTAGCATGGCCCCTGTGCAAGGATAACATGCAAATTTGTGAAGCGGTCCATATTAAAAAAAAAAAGTAGTGTGGAGAGAGTCCCTGAGATGACAAAAGAACAGGTATCTTCTTAACATATCTACAGATGGTCATATAAGCGAACCCTTTAATAAATAACCATTCACTTTAAGGTAAAGCTTTGAAAAAAGACAAGAGCTAAAGGGTTATATGCTCAGAAGGCATTCCTAAGAAATGAGAACCAATAGATTAGTTCACTGAGCAAATTTTATTTGAATTCCAGCTATAATCATGGAACTGCGTTGAAGCTAAGGTGTATGCCATATTACAGTAGACACGTTTCTTAAGGAACTCGCAGTCTAAGGGGTTGTGAGGTTGTGAATGATGAGGAGGTATGAGACGTGCACCATATCAATTAAAAAAGCAATGTGGCACAGATGACCATCTGTAGGTATATTAAAAGGATAGTTTAAGGCACTTTTTGTTAATCCTTTGAAACTCTGTCTTATCACAGAACAAGCATTCTACTGGGAATCAGAGGACCTGGCTTCTAGAATCGGTGTTGTCACCCATGGTGTGTTGGACCTGACAAAATTTAATGCCTCAGTCTTCTTATCTGCAACTTGTGGGATACCTCTGAGGCTTTTTATGGATCTAAAACAATTCTATGGTTTCTTATTGTTCCCCATGTACCTGTCCCTTTACCATCTTAGGGACTCTCCCCACACTAATTACTTTTAATGTTGTAGGTCCCCAAAACTGCCTAGTTCCTTCCTGAAGTAATAATAAAAATTTATATCTGTATTTCACTACTTTATTAAGAGCCTTCACACCAATTGCATTTGATTTTTATAACAGTGCTTCCTGATAGATATTATTTACACCATTTTAATGATGAAGATACTGAGGTTCAGGGATGTTCCGTGACCAGGAAGTAGAATGTCGTGTGTTGGACCCACATAATTCGACTCTAAGTACGGTGCTCCTTTCTCTACAGTGTCAGGGAAGGACGTAGGAGGATATTTTGTGTGTGTGTTTTTGTACAAGATGAACAAGAATATAAATTAGTATTTGAAGATTCATTACAAGACTTTGGCCTAATCTTCAGAGACGGTAAGTAGGACTTGGAGATCATATGGCCTCAGTTCTCATGGTGACTGGGACTAAGAGCTGGTCTCTGGAAGTTAACAGGAGATGATGTGTAGACCCTCTTAGCCTACATTTGGTTGTATTTTAAATGAAATTAGAGCTAATGTGCAAATATGCCGAAGGTCAAACAACAGTGCTCTCTAAGGACCGAGCAAGCAGGAGGACACTCATGAACAGACACACAGGTCCATTTATGATGAACGTGGAATGCTGATCCAATACCTAAGAGCATTTTCCTTTAAGCCAGCACCCCTACTCCACCTCTCCTCCCTCCATCTCAAGCCTCTTTCCCTCCTCCCCCGGCAGCCTATCTGAACGGCAGCCTATCTGAACAGAAGCCTGGCAAATTCTCTCAGAATTGCCCTCCATGGGAGCAGTCCCCTAGGGATTATCAGTTCATTTTCCTGGGGCTTTGAAACCACTCATCCAACAGGCCCTACCCCTTTGTCCTCCCGATGCTTTGAGGCCATTTTATCCTCATCATTGTTATTGACGACCGCTGGGATTTGAGTTGAATAAGACCTAAGACTACAAACCCAGCCCTGATGCTAACCAGCAAAGCCCCCACTCACCACTGTTCACTGTCACCCAACTGTTGTGACCTTCCAGCTATTTCTTTCAAATCAATATGCTTAATATGGGCCAGTGGTGTGATGTTCTGAGAGAGCGCTTTTCTCAGTAGGTTAAAAAGGGAAAGGCAATGAGGAGAGGTCACCACCATCTGTGAAGAATAACTGAGAAAATAAATTTAGTAACAAATGTACACACCAGGAATGACCATTAAGCCATTTCAGCTATAAGAACTGAGCCAACTTGAAAATGAAATGAAATAAAAATGAAATAAAGGGGAGAGTGACGAAAGCGAACTAGGTTTCAAGTATCTCATGTTCAGATGCATCATATTTTCAAAATTCCACTGGTTAGCTCTCATTCCAATCTGATCTTGCACATGCCTCTAAAAAATATGAGGGAAATCTGAATCACCCAAATATCTACAAATGTGTCAGCCAAATGAAAGAACTCCATAATCTGTGTTGTGTTTGCGTGAGTGTGCACATGCGCACGCGCATGTGTGTGTGTGTGTATGTGTTGGGAATGAGGAGTTCCTCACGTTTACCACCTCTCTCAACAGTGCAACTAACTAGTTTTTTCATCTTGAACAAGTTACTTACTCTTTCTGATCCTTACTTGCCCCATATGCAAAATGAATGTAGTTATACAGCCTTCAGAAAGTTCTGGAAAGTAATAAATGAGATATGTGTGGAAAATACCCAATCCAATTCCAAGCAAAATGGGTGACCACTTAATTTTTATTGCTATTATGGAAAGTTCTATATGTCACTATCTAGATGCCTGTCAATATCTAGAATCAAGTTCTGCATGTCAATATTTGAATATCTGCATGTCAATACTTAGATATCTGCAGGTCAGTAGGGAGAACCAAGGATGTTGCCACCATTTTTCCTCCCAGGTACCTGAACAGGGATTTCTTAGTTAATAAATTGCAGGTCAAGAAATTAGGAAAATATAGTATATAACAACTCTGCTTTCTGGACTACATATTTCTTTCAGCTGGAGAACCAAGGCTCACATGATGTTAAAACAGCTATAGTAAGTGCTAAAGAAGATATATGTTTTTGCATCAAGTATATGGACCATTAATACATATATAGAGATAGTTTTAATTGGCAAATATGTTCAAATACCTTACATTTTAATATGCTGCTCTGTGTCAGGATTGTATATGGTAGGCTGAATAATGACCCTAAAGATATTCCACACCCTAATCTTCTGAACCTCTATCTTACCCTACATGGCAAAAGGGATTTTGTAGATGTGATGAAGAAGTTAAGGATCTTGACACTTATCATGGGGAGATTTATCCTGGATTATAATCACGAGGGTCCTTGCTCAGTGGGAGGAGTGGGGGGGAGGTATGAGGATAGAATCAGAGTTCAGAGAGGAAGGAAGATGGAGGAAGGGGCCATGAGCCAAGGAATGTGAGCCACCTCTAGAAGCTGGGAAAGGTGAAGAAATAAAATCTCCTATACGGCCTCCAGAAGGAATGCAGCCCTGTGGACCTATTTCTATACTTCTGACCTCCAGAACTGGAAGATAATAAATCTGTGGTGTATTGAGCCACTAAGACAATGGTATTTGTTACAGCAGCATTAAGAAACTCATACACTGCCAAAAGGTGCTAAGACTCAGGACCTGTCACTACGAAACAGGAAGTGCCACGCCTCGCCTTCTGGATAACTGGAGGAAGTCTCTTGCCCATTCATACCTTGACAGTTTGAAAGCTGGGGTAATGTCCTGGGGAGATACCTAGCCAACAGGACCACAGCACTACCCTCCGTCATTATTTTTACCATACTATATGCAAATAAAGTTATTTTGAACCCAAGACTCCATGTAAATATGACCTGGAGTTTTAGATGCCAGATCGATTGGCATCTGCAAAACCTCTTGTTTGCAATTCAGATGAGCTGTTTAACAGAGCAGATCTCCTCACAATGTATGAGAAACACAGAGACAATAGGGATCAGCATCTCCTAGTGCTCTGGGTCCCCAAGGCAATGTGGGAATGGAAAACAAACAAGCAAAAACCAACTACTTTCTTTCTCAGGATAGTTTTCTTTTTGAACCTCAAATATTAAGAGCCATCAGGTCCCTGTAACTCCCAGTCACTCAGTGTTTTCCTCTGCTCGGGCTATTTTTCAAGAACTTCTGCCTACTTCTCTTTCCCTAGCACCCATTTTCTCTTCATGCTGGGTGTTATTTGACCAAAGAAGAATCTTCCGGCAAATTAGGAGTCTAGAAGAAATCCTGCCCGGTGTTATGGATAACACCTTGCCGATTTCTTTGGGGGTAAATGTGATCCTAAAAGAAAACTTTGAAGGCTTTTCTGCAGCTTCTCTGAAACATTTTCTGGCACTAAAAGTAAACTTATGGATTCCAGGCCCTTGTGTGGGATCTTTGATCTAGGACTGCTCCAGAAAGCACATTCTCTATGCATTATGCATTTCCTAATTTGCTGTCCCCCGGTCCACTTCCTCAAATCCTCAATCAATATAAAATTTCCCTGGCTCTGCTCATTTACTCTCTTGTCACTCCCTCCCTGCATCCTTCCTGCCTTCCTGCCTGTCTGCCTTTCCTTCTTTCTTTCTTTCTTTCTTTTTTAAAGATTTTATTTATTTATTTGACAGAGAGAGACACAGCGAGAGAGGGAGCACAAGCAGGGGGAGTGGGAGAAGGAGAAGCAGGCTTCCCTCGGGGCAGGGAGCCTGATGTGGGGCTCGATCCCAGCACCCTGGGATCACGACCAGAGCCGAAGGCAGACGCTTAATGACTGAGCTACCCAGGGGCCCCTGTCTGCCTTTCTATCTTTCTTTTTCTTTCTTTCTTTCCTTTCCCTTCCTGGGCACTCTCCCTCTCTCTCTTCCTTTCTGTTTCGTGTTCTCTCTTTCTCTTTCTTTTTCTTTTCTACTCTATCTCTCTCTCTCCCTCCCAGCTTTGACCTGGGCCATTTAAACCATGTTTTCCTAACCCTCAAATACAGGGGGCTTATTATACCACTTTGTCAGAGCAAGTTGATTTTCCAAGGGCACACAGTCAGTCAGGAGCTTTGGTCGCTTTGCGAGGGCCCTGGGGAATTTTTAACAGACTCCAGTTGGAATTAGCCATTACCATGTTAATGGCATCATGCAGTAGGGAAGGCTGCAGATGGTGATTCGAAGGGATTTACACCCCCATTAACTTCATAGATTAGATTGGAGGTAAGGAAATACCCATGCGAACAAAAGAAAATAAATGACTAAATAAGGTGGCATGTAACAGTTAGTCCCGTTCTTTTGCAATCTTGGCATTTGTCGGGCCCTATGCTATCAAAATGCTGGCAAACTGGGGATCCTCGGAGCCCTGGGTGGCGACTGGCCGGGGTCTGCCTTCCCAGGGCCTGAAATGAATTCCTGGTTTTCGACTGACAGTTCCGGTGACTGAATGCACTGGTTCAACTCTCTGAACCTTAGTGTCCTCATCTAGGAAAAAAGCTGGGTCGTGGTTTGGGGGCCTCACCATGTTGCCTGCCCCGGACTCAAGCCCAATCGGCGGCAGCTACTGTTAGTTTCTCCCTGGGGATCGCGTGGTCCCCGGGCACTCCAGCCAAGTACCATCTGCTGCCGGGCTCATCCACAGCAGACAGCATCCCTCACGGGCCGGGGGGCTACAAGCCCAACATCAGGGTGCCAGTCCCGCCGGTCAAGGTCAGTGGCACCTCTGCTGGGCTGCAGACGCCCCTTCTCGGTGTCCTTGCACTCTGGCAGGGGCGGGGGAGCTCTCTGGGGTCTCTTGTAGAAGAACAGGAGTCCCATCATGAGAGCCTAAGCACCTCCCCCTCCTAATATCCTCACGGGGAGGGGGGAGGATTTCAACATATGAATGGGGTGGGGGGGACACAAACATTCAGACTGTATGTAGCAGGGAAGGTAAAAGTAATGACTTTTTTAGCCCCTCCATGCTTATATGATCTCATTTAATACCCGTAACAGCTCCACCCAGTACGTAAGGTTAATCAGAAACTCTGAAGAGTGTGAGGCCTGAGCCCACCTGATCTGACAGGAAGCCCGAGGCTTTCTGGATTAGAGAACAGACTATTTATTACTCAAGGCAAAAACAGCCAGAGCAGCATCTTAGCACCAGCCCCCCAGCCCCAATCTCCCCCCCACCCCTGGCGATGGAATGAAGGTCAGATGTTACCTGCACAAGCAACAGGGTTGCACCCTCCAAATGGAACCCCCAAACTAGGACCCCTGAAACTTAGATAGCCTGCTGGCACCTCTGCCCAGCCTTCCCTCCAAAAAAAGAGAGAGGACTCGTTAAGCAAATCTCATCCATCCGGGCGTGGGGAGAGAGCTCTAGCTTCACCACACCCTGAATGTAAGCAGGTGGCTCTGAGATCAATCCCTAAACTTCTCTGACTTTAGAGAGACGCTATATCCAGCTTTCTAAGCCTTTGCTCAGAAAACCCGGACCACGCAGAAATGCAGATACGGTCATGGAGAATTGCCTCCTGATCAACATCATCCAGTCATACAGATACCATGTTAGACATCAACCTCAGGACCAGGCATAGGAGAGGCTGAGGCTCAGTCATTCTTGAATTCGTCCCCACAACCAATAAATAGTGTTATTTATTGTGTTTGTAAGAGCCAAGTCTTAAAGTGCTTAATTCAGCTGAACCATCTGGGTGTGTAGAGAAAGCCAAATAGACTCTTCATTAATGAAGTTGGCCCACTAAGGAGATTTTCCCTGCGACATAAACCTTATCTTTTGGACTTGTTACTTCCTTCTCCGACACGAAAATTGACCTTTTATCTGTTCCATTTGTTCAAGGCATTCTAAATAATATTAAAAATAAATCTACTTTGAGTATTCATGGAACCTACTAAAGAATTTGTATTTCGCATGGAACATTGCCAATACCTGACTTAACCCAAAACTTAGAAATCCTAGTGGAAGGTTACAGACGGGTACATATTTGGGTGGAAGGATAGGTCTCACACAAAACACATCTCCCGTTACCAGCAACAAGCATATCCACGTACTTCGTTTTCTTTGATTCCGTAGAAAACCCAGGGCAGAGGCACTTCATATAAGAAAGTCAAGAGTTCAAGGTTAAACGTGTGTTGGAGGTTAAGTAGAGGTAAGCTGCAACATGGATCCACATCTTCACATTTTAAGGATGCTGGACTTTTGTCAGCCCACACATTTTCCAAGCCAGTGATTTTCAACTGTAACATGTGTGTGTGTGGGGGGGGTGTTCTTTGGGAGGGTCACCATGTCAGATTCACCTGGATGGGGGTTCAAACCGTGGCCCCCTTTAGAGATTTTGCTATCCCCTTTGAGTGAAAGCCACATCGAGTCTGGGAGCCTCACTACTGATAGGATAGTACCCTAGCCCAGGGAATGTTCGGAAAGAAAAATCCCTGAAAACTACTAATTCAATTTTATAGTTAATCAACATACTTTCACAGGGTTGATAGAAATAATTCCATGTAGTTAGTAGAGATAGAGTCATAAAATTAATACAGAAAGTTTTAGTGATTTTATCATAGAACCAGCTCAGTGGTTTATGCAGCATGGACAAAAATATTCAAATGACTCTCTTTGCATAAATATTTCTCATTCTCGGTTTCCTTTCATTTAACCAGGTATATCAGAGTTTCACTTTTGTTTATCTTTTTACAATGACAGCTAAAGATTACATCTCAGAATGTAGAAGTCTGAGTTAAGTGTGGTACTTAAATTCTAATAATAATGAAAAATAACTCATCAGCAAGAACACTTTTGGAAAAGATCACTCAAGGAGAAAATTGTTCTTGACAGTGTTAAGAGCACTGCTCCGCTCCACCAACGGGCAATCATGAAGCTCAGGAGAAAATCAGCATTAGCATCAGATAACATTCTTCCAGATGCCATCAAAATTCTCTCTCATCTTCCACAAGTACAATACTCTGTTCCCCACCACCTGTTCCATTTGAATTAGCTGCCAGAAAGAGGAGAGGAATGGTGTACATTTCACTGCTCTGCAATTTCCCAGAAGTCAAACTTTATAATGCAAAATATTTGAATTTTGTATATTTCTTGAAGTGGGAACTTCAAAGGGAATGCAAGACAAGCCACAGCCCTAGGTTTTATTTCCCTCTGCCCAAGTTTAAGTGCAGGCAGTCTCCTTTGCATGGATGGTGGGAATGGCCGCTCCAGCCGAAGCTTTGTGAAGCGATCTTAGTCATGCATGGGGAAAATACGATTGGGCTGTGAATTACACTTATGTTAAAAGATTAAAGACTCTCTTTCTGTCAGTTATGAATGTATAGGGAAATAAAACATAGCCAAACTCATATTTATTTAGTACGCTGTAATTTAAAACATCAGAGACCTTAAGAATCAAAGTGTTGTATTTGTTTGTAAACACTATTATATAACCTACAACGGAGCATCTTTTCCATGCCTTGGAAAATCGTCACACTCCTTTCTAAATTTGGATCTGCTTCTCCCACTTTATCCTTTGTACTTTCAATGTCAGGAACTATGTCTGAGGGTTCCTTCAGTGTTAAGTCCTTTGCCAGCATCACTTCCTCTGGGACATCCTCCTTTCCGTCACCACGGCTCTCCTCGTTTCCGTTGATCTGTGCCCCTTCAGCAAGTGTCCCTGGCTGTCCATCTACAGTCCCTCAAACGGGGACAGAATCAATATTGTGACGGTCACCTTTTCCTTGTGAAATTCCATTTCTGTGACTTGAATTTCACTTCTGATGTTATCACTTTTCATTTCTTTGCTGCACTTTCACTATTGTTGGCCAAGTTCCACTTTCAATCATCCGTTTTGTATAATATCGTGTGGATTCAAGGCTGGGGGCAAGAAGGCAACACACCTACATTCTGTGCATGAACTAATGGACAGAGGCACAGAAGCACTCATCAATAGAGTTTGAAAGAAGTGATTGCCAACTAGCCAAATGCCCAATACACCAGATGAGCAATTTGTTCAAAGCCAATTAATGGAAGGATCAATTTGCAAAATGATTGATTTGCCAAATGACCAATTGGTTGAATTTGCCAAAATTCCTCATTGGCCAAAACCTTCCTTTAAGGGATAGTCTTCTTGAACATATTCAAGGAAATAAATATTTTATTCTTAGGATCATAGGCTTCTTAACTATAAAAAATAAAAATACTGAATTACTGTGTTTTAGAATAGATTCACTCTATGTGTAATATAAAATCTTCATAATTATTAATATATTCAATAAATAACTTTATTAACATAGGTTTCCACCAATATGAACATTAAGGGAAATATATTCATGGAGTCAAAACCACCCTAAAACCCAGAACTTTTGACCAGTCAATGTGTCTAGGGGAAATACTTTAATTGACTAGACCCAAGAAAAATATTCTGAAGATAAGTGTTTAGTAAACTTATAAACTTTGATGAATCACCTGTTAGGCACTCGGTGATTGGGCCATAGAGAAATTAGCAGTCAGCAAGTTGGCTCTTGGCCAACTGGTTTTCGGCAAACTGTCTCCAGGCCCACCTCTCTGTCCCCCAGACCCTCCCTCCTCTAGACTAGCGTTGGTGTCCCTGCTGCATGATTTCCTGATCCTCCATTGTGGTAATTACTGCGCTGTTCTTCATCTCGCTTAAATATCTGCCTTCCCTTTTCCACTGCAAGCTCCATCGGGCCCGAGGCCAAGTCTGTTGTGTTTATCTTTGTGATCTAGCACCTAGCACAAAATAAATACCATTCCCGTGAGTAACTTTTTGACGTCTTCCTCCGAGCCAGGCACCGGACTGGTGTTTTACATGCATCATTTCATTTATTCCTCAGGCAAATCGTTACGAGCTGGGTGAAATGAGTGTTACCATTTTATAAATGAAGAAACTGAGGCCAGAGTCAACACAGCCAATACATGATAAAATAGATCGCAGAACCTGCTAAGCAACCTTGCAGCGTTAGGAGTTCCAGAAACATACGCTGAATTAATTAATGTTCACTTACTGATGTTCATTCATCGAGCAGCTGCTTGGGAAACTATCCTGTGCTGGGAACTTCTGTCTATATTGTCTCCAGGGGCACGAGCAGGGTCCTTCCACGGTGAGAGCGGGCTTCGGGCTGGGAATCATCGGCTCTGGAAGCCACTGCAGAACTAGCTCAGCATGAGCACTGCAGCTGCTTTGTGAATCAGGGAGGTAGAGATCAGGGAGCTGGTGCTGGAACTTTCGGCTTCAGCGGCTACACCACGCATGCTAGGTCTGCATCAAAAAGAAAAGAAAAGAAAGAAGGATGCCCTGGGCCCTGCCTGTCAACCTACACGCTGGGATCTTTGGTAATGCAGAAACAGAAAACACTTTACGTGTCTGCAACTGGCTTTGCCAACATAAAGAGCAGAAGTCAGCCCCACTTTGTTCCTGCCCTCTAAATCTCTCGGGAGTGCATCAGATTCGCTTGAGCTACGGCACGCCTGGACCCTGGCTGCAGGGTAGACTGGGATTTGTAGTTCCTGCTTTTCCAACCTAGAAGGAGAACAGGATGGATGGTACATGCCAATTTACTACCTCTACCATCCGCAGTGAAGCAATATGAGGTGGTCGCAATGCCACTCCCTTGCTCGGGAACATGGCGTTAGCAGGTCTGCGCATCTGATTTCTTGGTGCAGGAGATGGGAAGGATTGTCCTTGATTCGTCTACACTCTCACCCCAACCTCACTGTTACCCAAAAATTCCTCAGTGGCATCGGGAAGGCCCAAGTTTGGGGAATGGAATCCAGCAATCTTATGTTTATCAGTGTCCCCATGAGCTAGCCTGTCCACATTAGACAGTAACCATCATTAAAATCATTTGATCGGGGGCGCCTGGGTGGCTCAGTCGGTTAAGCGTCTGCCTTCTGCTCAGGTCATGATCGTGGAGCCTCGGGATCGAGCCCTGCGTTGGGCTCCCTGCTCAGCGGGCAGTCTGCTTCTCCCTCTGCCCCTCACCCTGCTTGTGTTCTCTCTCTCTCTCCCTCTCACTGTCTCTCTCTCTCTCAAATAAATGAATAAAATCTTTTAAAAAAATTATTTGATCAGTCAGCCTCAGCTCCGACCATAACTCTGTGCTCATTCCAACAGAGTGAAAGTTCCTGGTCCAGTCCTTGGAAAGGTGACGTGTGGAGTAAAGGGCCATCCGTAACATTTGTGCCAAGCCAGGAACAGCTTCCCAAGAGCCACAAATATGTAAATATCTCCAGCAAAAAGGGCTGAAAGTAATCCAAACGGAGTCGATCAATAGGGAGGAGAAAGGATCATGAAAAGAGCTATTTCCTTGCAGATTATTAGGGGACTCACGGAGTAGGAAGTAATCCTTGGATTAGCGCCATGCACGGCAGGAGTGAGGCCCAGGGCAAGGGTCCCGGTCTGTGTGACCCCAGCACAGTATGTCTTGCTGTGATCAGCTGGACCTGGGCCGGTCCCCTTGAGCCCAAGAGCCCTACCGAGCCTTCTGGCTGTAAGCTAGAGGACATAGGTTCTGTACCCAAACTTTCCTCTAACGTGGCCATCCTGTAAGCTTTTTAAATTTAGATTTTTTTTTAAGGATCTGAAATTTTGTGGGGCAAGTCATTGATATTTCCCCCTAAATTTTCACTCACTTGGGAACAAGACCTTTTAATGTAACTTACGCAGGGATATATTTCTTTAATATCTATATTATAAAGGTTCAATTAAATGTCCCTAATACTCCTCCTTCTAGTATTTTCATAAAATTTTAAAGGAGGGAAAATGTGATTATGGAAAGCTACCCTCTAACATAATGATTCGAAAGCAAACGTTTATTGCATGCCTCCTTCTTCGCAGACACTGAGCTAAGGCTGGGCATGTATCGACTCACATAATACTCAACACTCTAAAAAAGCTCCGTTCTCATCCCTGGTTTATAGTTCCGGAAGCCAAGGCAAGAACAAGTCAAGTAACACATCCGAGGTCACACAGGCAGGAGGTGTTGGAGACAGACGGTTTCCCTCTGATTCTGATCTCCAGACTTAATCACTTAATCACTATCCTTTATTTCATCTCTCAGTCCTTTTTCGTTCGACACACACATATGGAGCATCTTCTCAGATGAGAGCCTCTGCTAGGGGCGGAGGGTGCAAAGCCAAGACCCCGGACGTGGTTTTACAATGTGTGCTTTCCAGCTGGGGGCCTGTGACATACAGACAAGCCATCTGGCCCCAGATCTCCACTCTGACTACTACTTACCCTGCCACTAAAGAGAACTCGTTTGGTTTCAGCTCTCTGGTTACTTCAAAGTTGCCCTTCTCCATAGCAATGAGTAACATTTCAAGTTTACTTCTGAAATTTGTTAGTTTTTCTTCCCTTGCTGGGAAAGGGCTTCCCAGGAAGACTCCCAAGTGTTTCAAAGGCAGACTGGATACACAGAGCCTGAGAGTGCGCCTCAGCTGGTGCCCCGTGGTTCCTTTTGCTTTGCATTGCTTTGTGAATGATGGAAGGGGGCCAAGCGGGCATTTCTAAATAGCTGAAGTCCAGGGAAATGGAAATTAATCCAAATTAACACAAATATTTACATGGGTGATTTTTAAATCTTGCAAATGTTGAAATATAAGAGAACAAAAATGAATTGTGACAGAGTGTATTTGTTAATAATTTTTAGTTGCATGTGGTAAAAATCAGCTTGAGCTGGTTTAGGCAGAAGGGGGATTTATAATAATAATCAGGGGTACCTCCTAGAACCAAGGGGAGGAATGAAATTGGGTCTCAAGAAGGGAATGTAAATAAGAACCAGAAAGGAGGCCCTCCCCCCCAAAAAAGGCTGAAGTGGCGGGGGGTAGCTGAGTGCATACACGCACAACTACGCACGAGTGCCCACGTACATACATGCATATCCATTGATTACTTTTTCTGCTTCTTCATCCAAGTGGCAGGATATGGCTAACCTTACAGACCCCCAACTTAAATGCTACCATTCCAAAAACACTCAGAGTTCAAGTGTCTTTCAGTACCAATTTAAGTTCCCAGGAGAGAATCTCATCAGCCCACTGGGTCATGCATGCAATCCTGATGCAATCAATTTCAGCCAGAGTGAACATGGTCACATGTCATAATCAAGGCTTCCCAGAGGGTCATCCATGTATCCAATCTTCTAACAAATATATATTAAGCGCCTGTTAAACCAGATGCTGGAAAAACAGCAGTGATCACAAGGATGTTTGCATTCTTTTTTTTTTTAAGCTTTTATTTTAACTCCAGTTAGTTAACATACAGTATTATATTAGATTCAGGTGTACAATATAGTGATTCAACAATTCCATACATCACCTGGTGCTCAAGCACCAGAGGACATTTGCATTCTTTTTTTTAAAGATTTATTTATTTATTTTACAGAGAGAGAGAGAACAAGCAGGAGAGGCAGAGGGAGAGGGAGAATCTCAAGCAGACTCTACGCTGAGCACAGAGCCCGACGAGGGACTCGATCCCAGGATCCTGAGATCATGACCTGAGCTGAAATCACGATTCAGACGCTTAACCGACTGAGCCACCCCGGCGCCCCGACATTTGCATTCTTTTTTAAAGATTATTTATTTAACAGAGAGAGAGACAGCGAGAGAGGGAACACAAGCAGGGGGAGTGGGAGAGGGAGAAGCAGGCTTCCCTCGGGGCAGGGAGCCCAACGCGGGGCTCAATCCCAGGACCCTGGGACCAGGACCTGAGCTGAAGGCAGATGCTTAATGACTGAGCCACCCAGGCGCCCCCCCAACATTTGCATTCTTGAAGACAATTATCAAACTCCCCAAAAGATTTCTACCACACAATCTTTAAATTTTTAAGATTTGTTATAAATCATGAAAACTCACTACCTCCAAGGGTTTTCCTGAAATCCTCATTCCTAATCTTAATCTTTAACTTTTATGCATTCACTCCTTTCTTTCAATAACATTTATTGAGCCCCTTCTGTGTGTTAAATGCTGAGGAGACTAGGATGCCATAGTCCTGAAGGACTTAAGCCCCTCACGAGGGATTCAGATTGTGAACAAAATTCAACAAGCCATTTATTAAGGTGCAAGGACAGACACAAATGTGAGAAATATTGGGGAACCAAGAGGCAATGAGGTTCACTTAACCCTGGGACCAGGAAGAGCTGGAAAGGGGATTTTGTGTTGTTCTACCTTTATTTCAAAAGTACTAGAAAGAGGGGTGCCTGGGTGGCTCAGTCGTTAAGCATCTGCCTTCGGCTCAGGTCATGATCCCAGGGTCCTGGGATCGAGCCCCGCATTGGGCTCCCTGCTCTGCAGGAAGCCTGCTTCTCCCTCTCCCACTCTGCCTGCTTGTGTTCCCCCTCCTGCTGTGTCTCTCTCTGTCAAAATAAAATAAAATCTTAAAAAAAAAAAGTACTAGAAAGAATATAAAAGCCTAATGACATGGTGTCCATCAGCAGTGTTGGAATTTCTGGACTCCTGGGTTTCATTTTAATGGCGTACCATGTTCTAACCTTACTTGGAAATGCCCTCTAGCATCTATCATCCCTCTCAGCTTCTGTTGGGGCAAGGCTGACAGTGTGGTCGGTGCTCCTTAATCCTTCACAATTATTATTAAGACATTGACCACTTAGAATTTTGAACTGGGATCTTGGGTTGGGCCCCCACTGAAGAGCTCAACTATTCACAACTCTCCTCCCGAAGGGTAGCCTGCATCACATCTGCACCCAAGCAGTAGTCCCTAAAACCACCCCTCGAAGCTGCCTTAGCATTCTTAAAATGTCTTTTTCGTTAACCCACCATAATATTTAACTCTTTATAGACTTAAACGCCACGTTCTTCTTCAGTAGAAACATCTAAGTTGTAGTCTACACCTTCTGTACATTCTGAATGAAGGATTCTTCTGAATTACTCAAGGATCAGAGTTGTAAGGTTTTTCCTACATTATGTTGTCATTTTAACGTTCTGTTTTGATGCACCATTTCAAAAATTGATGTTCTTTAGTTATTTGGGGTATTTCCCTTCTACCATGTTCCCATTCTGCAAGGTTGGTCCAGGTGTTCTTTAATTTTACTGTAAGGCACAAAAAGAAAAAAAAAAAAAACTCAGATCACTATAGGCTTCGTATGTTTTCCTTACATAACTGGTTCTCAAACTTTAGCATGCATCAAAGACACTTGGAGGGCTTATTAAAACACAGATTTCTGGGATCTATCCCCAGAGTTTCTGATTCAGAAAGTCTGGGATAACCTCAAGAATTTATATTTCTAACAAGTTTCCAGATGGTGCTGATGCTGTATGTAGCCAGGGACCACACTTTGAGAACCACTTGCCTTAGATCTTTTTTAAATGGTTTGTTGAATCACAAAGGGCTTGAAGGTGGCTAGCTGTACCTTTAGGAATAACAATGGCATAGCATAGTCTGCTAAACGTATTTGCCCCTGATTAGATGAATTAACTGTCCGCGGAACCCATTAAAAATGTATGGCTAGTTTCATTAACTACAGATGTCTTGTATGAATATTCAAGAAAAATTTACCAGCCTTGTATTGGTACAAAAATCTTACATTCGTTTTCCATGCAAGTATAATAATATCTTTGGGAAAGAAAGTACATACAGTATTATGTATCTTTTTGTGTTTTAAAATGATGGAACAGGGGCGCCTGGGTGGCTCAGATGGTTAAGCAGCTGCCTTCGGCTCAAGTCATGGTCGCAGGGTCCTGGGATCGAGCCCCGCATCTGGCTCCCTGCTCCGCGGGAAGCCTGCTTCTCCCTCTCCCACTCCCCCTGCTTGTGTTCCCTCTCTCGCTGTGTCTCTCTCTGTCAAAATAAATAAATAAATAAAATCTTTAAAAAAAACAAAACAATAAAAAAAGAAAAGAAAATGATGCAACGTCCAGCAAGTTACTTTGTGGATACTGAGAAACTAATTCTGAAGTTTAAATGGAGAAGCAAAAGACCCAGAATCGCCAACACAATATTGAAGGAGAAGAACAGGGTTGGAGAGCTGACCCGACCCGACTTCAAGATAGCGTGGTATTTACAAAAGAATAAATAGCCAGATCAATGGAACAAAATAGAGGGCCCAGAAGTAGACCGACACAATATATAGTCAATGGGCCTTTGATAAAGGAACAGAGGCAACACAGTGGAGCAAAGACAGTCTTTGCAACAAAAGGTATTGGAACGACTGGACATCCACGCGCAAAATACATAAATACATCTAGACACAAACTTTATATCACTCACCAGAATGAACTCAAAATGGATCATAGACCCAAACGTCAAATACAAAAACTATAAAACTCCTAGAAGATAACATAGAGAAAAAGTCTAGATGACTCGGAGTACGGAAATGACTTCTTAGGTACAACACCAAAAACGCGATCCATAAAAGGAATAATTCATAGGCTGGACTTCATTAAAACTAAAAATTTCTGCTCTGCACAAGACAATGTCAAGAGAATGAGACGACAAAACATAGATTGGGAGAAAATATCTGCAAAAGGTACATCTGATAAAGGACTGCTATCTAAATATACAAAAACAAAACAAAACACTTAAAACTCAACAATAAGAAAATAAATAACCTGCTTTACAAATGGGCCAAAGACCTTCACAGACACCTCATCAAAGAAGATGTACAGATGGCAAATAAGCATATGAAAAGATGCTGTACATTGTATGTCATGGGGGAAATGCAAAGTAAAACGACAGTGAGAAACCGTGACTTACTATTGGAATGGTCAGAATCCAGAGCGCAGGCGACACCAAATGCTGGCGAGAATATGGGGCAACAGGAACTCTCATTCAGGGCCAGCAGGGATGCAAAATGGTGCAGCCACTTTGGAAGACAGTTTGGTCTAAAACTAAACATACGGCCCAGCACTTGTGCTCCTTGGCATTTATCCAAAGGAGTCGAAAACTTATGTCCTCACAAAAACCTGTGCATGGTTGTTTATAGCAACTTTATTCATCACAGCCCAAACTTGGAAGCAACCAAGATGCCCTTCAGTAGGTGAACGGATAAATAAACTGCGGCCCATCCAGACAATGGAATTATTATTTAGCACTTAAAAAAAAAAAAAAAAAAAAAAAAAAAGAGCCGTCGAGCCAGGAAAAGACATGGGGGAAATTTAAATGCCTATTATTAAGTGAAAGAAGCCGATCTGAAAGACAACATACTATATAATTCCAATTCTAGGACATTCTGGAAAAGGCAAAACTATGGAGACAGTAAAAAGATTAATAGTTACCAAGGGTTAAGAGAAGGGAGGGATGAAGAGGTGGAGCACAGAGGATTTTTAGGGCGGTAAAAATACTCTCTATGATACTATAATCATGGATACATGTCATTATACATGTGTCAAAACCCCTGGAATGTACCACCCCGAGAGTGAACCCTAAGGTAAACTACGGACTCTGGGTGACGATGATGTTGCAATAGGTCCATCAGCTGTAACATTCGTCCCCTCTGGTGGGGGCTGTTGATAGTGGGGGAAGCTGTGCGGGAGTGCAGGTAGCGGGTGTATGAGAAATCTCTGTATCTGCCTCTCAATTTTGCTGGGAGCCTAAAACTGCTCTAAAAAACAGAATCTTTAACAAAATTAAATATCTCATAAAGATATATAGGACACAAGGTAGGTGGCAGAAGCAGTAATAAACACTATCAAATAGACACACTTCATTTCAAACTTGGTGCTTTTGAACTTTAACAGCTTTAAGATTGGCAGTGTAATTTTTATTTTTAATTGCTATAAAGTACACATAACACAAAATTCACCATCTTCGTCATTTTTACGTGCACAGGTCAGTGACATTAAGTACGTTCACACTGTCGCCAAGCGCTTGCCACCCTCCGCCCCGAGAGCTCCTTTCGTCTTGCAAAACTGAAACTCTGTCCCTGTTAAACAGCCTCCCCCCCCACCCCCACCCCGCCTCCGCGTCCCTAGGAAGCCACCGGTCTACTTTGTGTCTCTCTAAATTTGCAAACATTTCTGGAAGTGCATAAGTGGATAAGTGCAAACCAATCCAGACTTTCAACTAACATCAAGATATACACCTCGAGGGGCGCCTGGGGGGCTCAGTCGTTAAGCGTCTGCCTTCGGCTCGGGTCATGATCCCAGGGTCCTGGGATCGAGTCCCGCATCGGGCTCCCTGCTCTGCGGGGAGCCTACTTCTCCCTCTCGCGCTCCCCCTGCCTGTGTTCCCTCTCTTGCTGTCTCTCTCTCTCTATCAAATAAATAAATAAAATCATTTAAAAAAAAAAAAGATATACACCTGGAAACCGCTCACAGGCAAGCAGCAACGATGCGTAGATGAGTATGAGATTTGGGGAAGCTGGGAACACACGCGGCTGTAAATTTCCTAATATGTGACGTTGCTGCGGACGAATCTGCCCCGACACCCTCTCACCTCCCTCCCTCACCACGCACCTCATTTCTCACGGGATCCCAAATGGTCTTCGTGGCTTTCGGCTCCTTACCGGTAAAGGACTCTGATGATGGGGTAAGAGCAACTGAAAACCAACGTGCTGTGAAGCGCATCTTTTTCTCTCCTCATCCTTGAACCCCTGGGCTTTCCCGAAGAGCCAGAGCAGACCCGTGTCTCTGGTATCAGGTGTGGAAAACCGCCACACAGGGGTCGCCGCACGGGGGTGAGCCCGCAGTCCTCTGGATGCCTGGATGCGGAGTTCAAAGGAAATAGCTAGCGAATTCTACCTTCCGCAAATCCCCAGGCCAAAGGTAGACTTTTCAGTAAATGAATAATCCCTGAGTGACATCCGATGAGTTCTTTCAAAGACATTTTCCTTCACCCTGCCCCGACCCCTGACCTACACTTCATTCCTTGCAAAACGGATGGAACCCACAGTGGAGACTTTGCCTTCAGACGTGGCCTCTGTTGTGGGCTAAGTAGAAACCTCGAGACCACCAGAGCATCAGTTTACACTTCGACCTTCCTGCAAAAGCTGGCCGGCTTGGTGCCTTTAATTTTTAGAGCATTGATTCTAGAAAAGTTTGCTTTAGCAAAAATTAGAAAGTAAAGGTTCGGGTGACAAGCAAGATGTTTCATGAACACATTGTGTGTTTATCCAACTAAGCGGCTCCGAAATTACATTTTTAATGCTCTTCTTTTCCTAATAATATAGAATATTAATATCATGTAAGTCAAAAGGGAAAAATTCTGGGTAAGCATAAGTGCAGAGCTGAAAGCTTACTCCAAGGGCTAAGTTGTGTGCCGCATTGCACTAAAAGAAGGAATGCCGAGTGGACACCAAGGGAAAGAGAACGAACACTGGCCGAGACCCTCCTATGTGTTAGGACCTCTGCTGAATCTTGCCCTTGACCTCATTTATTACCACGGTGACAGCTACTGTCCCCAACTGTGCGGACGAATGACTGGCTCCAATTCACATCATGGATAAGTGGCCAAATCAGCATTCAAATCCTGTGCTATGTAATTCTTCATTCAGCATTAGCGACTGGGCCCCTAGGATGGGCCAGGTGTGAAGGGGCCCATCAGTACTCTTCATGGAAGTCCTTAATTCGTACAAAGCTGTCTTTCACATGAATCATCAAGAGTCCTCATACCGACACTGACAGTCAGATGATGTATCTCTAGCTTTGTATTGCCTATGGAAGCTAAAGGGAAGGAATCATTTGGCCAAAGTCACATAGCTAGTAAGGGATGAAGCGAAGTTTTAGATCTATGTCCCTCTGGTTCAAAAAGCAATAGATTTAAGTTATTGTGTTTTAATTAACCCCTCTGAGCCTCAGTTTCTTTGCCTGTAAAATGGGGCTCATGGCAGCTTTACTCATAAAACCCAAAAGGGGGGGATGATCCCAACGTCTATCAAGTGATGAATGCATATACTAAATGTGATCTATCCATACAATGGAATATCATTCAGCCAAAAAGGAATAAAGTGCTGACATATACTATGACATGGATGAACCTTGCAAACATGATGCTAAATGAAAGAGGCCAGACACAGCAGGCCACAGAGTGTGTGAGTTCATTTTTAGAAAGCTTCAGAGGGGCGCCTGGGTGGCTCAGTCCGTTAAGCGTCTGCCTTCGGCTCCGGTCATGATCCCAGGTTACCGGGATCGAGTCCCGCATCGAGCTCCCTGCTCAGCGGGGAGCCTGCTTCTCCTTCTGCCTCTTCCCCTGCTTGTGTTCCCTCTCTCTCTCTCTCTGACAAACAAATGAATAAAATGTTTAAAAAAAAAAAAGAAATGTTTAGAATCATAGAGACAGAAAGTAGATTAGCGATTGCCTACTCTCTGCTCTTTGGTCCTTCCTCCAGGACGGCCCTTTGTCTGTCCACCCATCTGCCCATGGGACCTCGGAGGCTGCACCCCAATGCTAGCGCCACCTGCCCGCCCTGCCCACTTTCCCTACCGCTTCCCCTCTGGCCCGGCGAGAGTGAAACGGGAGCATCCCCCATGTGTCAGTCCTTTTTCGGGGATGTCTTTCCTTCATTGTGGACTCCTACCATACTGCCAACTGGACCTAAGAACTCGCAGCCTGGAACGAGAACTCGCAGCCTGGAACGAGAACTCGCAGGAAGGCAGTAGCCAAGAAATGCCAGGACAGGGGCCCTTGGGTGGCTCAGTCGTTGGGCGTCTGCCTTCCACTCAGGTCATGATCCCAGGGTGCTGGGATCGAGCCCCGCATCGGGCTCCCTGCTCGGCGGAAAACCTGCTTCTCCCTCTCCTACTCCCCCTGCTTGTGTTCCTTCTCTCGCTGTGTCTCTCTCTGTCAAATAAATAAAATCTTAAAAAAAAAAAAAAAAAAGAAAGGAAATGCCAGGACATGGGCAGTTCTTAACAAATGAGGAAAGGGGAGATGGGAACATTAATGAGTGTGCAAGCTGTTTGAGGAACTGCAAAGTCAGATACAGATCCCCGTGGGACAAGAAAGGAAAGACAAGCATGGAAGAAAGGACAGGGCGGGGGGTGGCGTCTAGGCCCTGCTATGATGTTTGAGCTTCATCTGAAATAACATGGAACTCTCCTGAAGGATTCGACTGAGGGTATACCATGATCGGATTTCTATTTTAGACGAACGATTCTTGCAGCCTGGAACAAGTCACAAGGCCATCAGCAAAGAAAGGAAGTCAAGGGGGAAGGGCAGGTGGGGAGAGAAGGTGGGAGACGCCCAGTCCAGTTTGGGCCATTTTGAGTTGAAAGTGCCTATGAGGACTGGAGCCGGAGCTTTCTGGATGGGGTTGGATGGCTGAGTTTGGAGCATCAGAGGCTGGAGATCCCCAAAGGGAGAGGGAGAGAACAAGACACAAAAGGGGTGTGGAGGACATTCCAGCAAGTGCTGGAGTTTGGGGGTGCCAAGAAGAGAATAGGGCTTTCAGTCCAGAGATCGTGATAAGATAAGCCACTGTTGTCAGAATCTGGTGTTCGTATCCTACCTCTTCTCCTTCCACGCCGTTTTTTTTTTAAGTTGTGCACTTTTTTTACACATCTGTATTTTACCCCCAGAGTACTTAACAACATCACCACTTTTTAAAAGGCCACGGCACAAAGTGCCACATGAACCAATGCTGTGATGGGCAGGTGGGCCTAGAGCCAACATGCAGAAATAACTTGGCGACGGCTCAATCACCAGCCCCGTCCACCAACGTATTCAGAGTTTGTTTCTTTTTGTGCTTCATCTTGAAATGTTCATCATTTTTAGACTGTTGCAGTGCAAATAAGACAGTGAAATATTATGCAATTTGCATGACCAACTGCACAGCATTGTGATTGCCCCATCGCACTCCTAAGGGCAAAATGTTTTCCGTGAAGCTGGGTGTGCGCAAGAACCCCCTCAACTGCATGGAGAAAACCATCACATCGCCTCCCTCCCAACTTCCTTCTCTCCAGTTTAGCCCCCTCTTTTTTACTGAGCAAGTGATTCTCTAGCCGCCTCAACAAGAGTTGAAAATTGGTCACCTTTTGAACTGTCTTTCTAAGAAATTATTTGCTTTTTCTGAAACGTGTGTATTTCAAAAAGAAAAACTAGTTTAAAATATTGCCTGTCTTGACATATTCAAACTGAGCAGATGTAAAGGAATACATTAAACCCGTTTTTCAAAGGTATGCCCATTAAACACACATTCAGACGTGATTGAGCGCTAGGCTTCTTATCGTAAATGCGAGCCTTCCTTAAACGCCACTGATTATCACCTCCAACGGCCTGTCAGTTTCATCAGAACCAAATATAGCCCCAGATTCCTTCTGCCTTTTTGTCGGGGACTCCCGAACAGGGAAACACGCAGCCATCTGGTTCCCCTTTGGAATGGCTGTGTGTTATAACATACAATCACATGTGATAAAAGGAAGCGTAGGAAACATATGGTGCAGGGCCTGAAGGTATTTGAAAGATTGCACCAAGGGCCACTTTTAGCTCATTTTATACATGGCCAGAAGAAAAAAAAAATTTTTTTTTTGCAAAGTCATTTGCAACAGTATATTTGTTTGCCCAGCGTGATTGCATTCTTCATCCGCTCTTTTGATGTTAACTCAGAGAGCGACAGTGAAGCGGACCGACCATAAATCAACAGGTTACAACTGGGTCTCTCTGGCATTCTTCTCCACTCTGAATGTCATGTCAGCCGGCACATATTGAGGCAATTCTATAAATTGGGTTATCTTGAGAAGGGGAGAAGTGAGCAGGGAGATAAAGGATGGAGAAAAGAGTGCAGAGCAAGCTCAAAGAAGCTCTAAATTCCTGATAAGGATCAAGATGCCTCAGCTTATGTGATTTACTATACCCACAGTTTTGTCTAACCTCGTAGACAACTTGGCTCCAGATTTTTCAGGATATATGTGTTCAGTTCAGTGGCACATAATAACAGCCTGGTAGGACTGATCTGCCTTGATTACGGAAGAAAATAATGTGTTTTTCCCAATGAAATACCTTACTTGTTTTCCAAAGAGACTCAACCCACGACTCCCAGACATTATCTTATTCAAAAAATATATATATATGTACACCGTGCTTGTTACATGCTAGGCATTGCTCCAAGCTTGCAAATGTATTAACCCTCACAATATAAATGCTGTCATACTCAAAACAGCCATGTGACGTAGGCATAATTATTATTCTCATTTGCAGATGAGAAAAATGAACCACAGAAGTAACTTGCCCAAGGACGCAGAGCCAGTAGGTGGCAGATCTGGGATTCAAACTCATCTCCTGAATCATTTTGTTGGAAATGAAGACAAGAGATGCACCTGCTTATCTCAGGTAAAAAGGGGTATCTTCTAACACACATGGACTAACTGCGAGTAACCCTGGAACTGAAAGCTTCCAGTCAGCACTGAGGACTGGAACGCTGTCTGCCTCTCTCAGTCTCGATCTGTGCCTCAGTATCTCCCCTTCTCTCTGCGTCTCCTTGCCTCCAACTCACTTGTGGTCTCTCGTGGTTCCTACTCTTTCTCACAGATCCTCTCCCCTTTAGCTGAGCTCTGCGGTGTGCTCGTTCTCTCTCTTTCTCTCTCTCTCTCCCCATCCCTCCCTGCTTTTGACTCCCAATCCTCCAGAAAATGGCTGGTGGCTCTATCAAGCCAGGCCACATGGTAGTTTCCCGGACAGCCTCGCGTTGCCTTCCCTTGAGTCAAGCCCACTCCTGCCACTCGCCTACGTGGATGAGTGTGATAACGAGTCTCCAGAGAGGGCCCCAACAGCTCTGTCACCCCCATATGTGCATGCTGCAAGAGATGACTCCGTTTCCCTCCGCTTGAGTCCCGGCTGGATGTGGTTCACTTTGGCCAATAAGACTGTAGTGGAAGACACATTCTGGGACTTCTGAGCGCAGGTCTTAATAATACTGACAGCGTCAGTTTCCTTCCTCCTGGCAATCAGCCACCGTGTTAGAAGTCTGACCACCCTGGCTGGGAAAAGCCCCAACTCTTACACCATGTTGCAAAGAAGACCAAACTATTCCAGAGAGACTGGCAGAGAGGGAGAGAGACCAACTGACCTAGTGGAGAAGCACCGAGGTCCCCGCACATAGAGGCAGAGCTTTCTGGGACATTCTGGCCCCGCCAAGCTGCCCTGTGACGCAGCCAAATGAATGACCCTCGCTGATACACACGCAGGAGGAGAACGGTCCAACTGAGCTCTGCCCCAGTTCTGGACCCACCATGTTGTCACAAATAACAAGTCATTGTTTGAAGGTTCTAAGTTTTGGGCTAGTTTGTTTTTAATAACATTGTTCGTAAGGTGAAACAGGAAAAGGGTACAACCGGAGAGGTGGATGGAGGTCTGGGAGGTGCCTACCAACGAGGCCATAAATGAAGCCAGGAGGAAGCCGCAACCGCCGGCTACAACAGACCTGTCTTTCCCTCCTTACGGCATTCCGGCCTCACCCAACCCCTATGAGCCAATTAGTCTTTTGGCGAGAAGAATGTTGGTGTAAATTGTCGATGCAACTTCCATAAAGTCACTTACCTGAGATTTAACCCTGACCTCCACAGCCCTGCTCTTCTCCCTCTACCTCGCCTGGAACTGCCTCGCCGCCGGGACCAAAATCAAGATCCCCCTCTTACGCCCTCTGAAGGCCCAAGCAGGAAACCTCCTTCTGTAGTGTACCTCCCGCCTCCATCCCCAACCTCAGCTGCAAACATTTATTGACCCCAGC